GAATAACACTGAATAAAACAATTACAAACCTGTAAATTTAGTTTATGCAAAAACTCCGCTTCTGCTGTTGATGCGCAACGCTGCTGAACACAACGGGGGTCTTCTCGCTGATGAAAGTACAGACAGACAGAGTACATTTAAAAAATATATAAATACATTTAACAGAATAACACTGAATAAAACAATTACGAACCTGTAAATTTCACTTCTGCTGCTGCTGACATGCAACGGTGCCGAACACAATGGGGGTCTTCTCGCTGATGGAAGTACTGACAGACTGAGACATGTTCTTTTAAACGTATCACGAACCGAGAAGGGGTGGGATCTGATGCTTAAAACAAGAGGTGATTGGACGATGGATCGGTTTGACGAAAACTTTTTACACTTGACAGGTCAAACTTTTGCAATAGACTAACGTCTGTTCAAAACAGGATGTTTGTGGTCAGGGTTAGGGTGACGGTAAATGAAAAGAGGAACTGAAGAGCGGGAAGGAGGGAGGGGTAGGGTTATGACAGGTCAAACTTTTATGCAATAACCCAAATATCTGTTCAAAACAGGATGTTTGTGGTCAAGGGGGTAGGGTTACGGTAAATGAAAAGAGGAACTGAAGAGGGGGACAGAGGGAGGGGGACCGGAAGTCGAGCTTGACCGGAAGTCCCGCCTTAAAGGGGGCGTGGCACCTGTCACTTTTGTGTAACGTCATTTGACGAATACCTATGTATTTATTCTCTTTTTTGGGTCAGGGAGGGGTCTGTGGGTCAGGGAGAGGTCTGTGTTGTCAGGGAGGGGTCTATGGGTGAGGGAGGGGTCTGTGTGGGTCAGGGTCCTGAGGAGGAAGCAGATGAAGGGATTTGCGCACGGGAACTTTTATTTAAGATTTATTTTTTTTATTTCAAAGTAGGGGTGTAAGAAAATATCGATACACTGAAATATCACGATAGTTCATTTGCCGATACTGTATCGATATTCTAAAGCCCTGTATCGATTTTTTTTAAGGTTTAAAATGTCAACTTTCCTGCCAACCGTTCATTTTTATGTTGCAGTTCAGCCTCTGACCACTAGTTGGCAGCAGTGAGCCAGCCACTTGGATCTTCTACCTATTGAGGTAGAGGCTATTGTTTAGTGTTGGGTGACCATATTG